AACACTTTAATTTACTTTACACAAATTAAAACTTAAAACACTAATAATTAAACACACTAATTCACTTTATTCCGCTCCGAAGCTTCGCTTGTCTTGCCAAATCAACACTGCCCCGATCGCATCTTGCAGCGCCTATTTATATAAATTAGCAAAGAAATATCCAGAATGTTCAAGTAAACACGCGCAAGGTACCGGGCGTTCGAGTTTCGACTAGGCGCTGTCGGTTGCAAGATTTGTGATGTCATTTTCTGCAAAGCTCCCCTCGCTCTCGTTCCTGACACTAGATGGCGCTAGTGTGTCGTCGACTTGAGCGCGTAACACTGCCCCCTCCTAAGACATGCTCGTCCCGAGCATTATCGGCCCCATAATAACGCGCCAAGCGATCCACATGGACGATCTTAGGAGTCCCTCTTGCGCCTTTCTGTAACGGCTCCGCAATGTCAAGGGCTGTCCTTTCCCATGGTGCACTAACATTGTACATTTTCGATGCTCCTCTACTACGTATCTGAGGTCCCCTCACAGCCGCACAACTTGTATATGTACGACATCAATCCTCGACATCGTCACGATAATAGACCCAGTAAAACTGTTCTCGGACCTTCAGTAGAGTTCGTTTAACTCCCAGATGGACTCTTGAACGACCATTATGGCACAGCTGTAGAACATTCGGCACTTTAGCTTTAGGGACAACCATTTGCAAACGACATCTGTCTCCTCGACCATTGTCCCATTTACGGCACAGGGCTCCATCCTGAATCAGCAAGCTGCCCCATTGGGCCCAATAGCTTTTCGTGGTTGAACTCATCGCTGAGACGTCCCTCCACTTAGACTAGGTAGCACGGGCCTTCATCCATCCCAGAATCGGCTTGATGTCTGGATCTTCCTGCTGTGCATGTCGTAGGCTGTCCTTCCACCCGTTGCTGAGGTGGTCTGTCCTGAGCATCCTCACGGATACCACTTCCTTACTCTCTTGCCTACTACAATGGTTGCAATCTTCAGGACAAGGTCTTCTTGATGATGCATCCGCGTTGCCATGAGATTTCCCGCTGCGATGTCTGATAGTATCCCGGCTGCTGCTGGGCGGTGATGTTAGCCGCACTTCCCTTCTGAGATCGTTCACCTTCCCTTTCTAGGGTTCGCTGAGGGCATCTGGATCGAAGATGGCCCTTTTCCCCACAGCCATGGCACCTAGGGCTGAATCCTTTATTATGGTCGCGTACCGTAACTGCTGCAACCTCCCTAGCGCGAGGGGAACGACGATCCGGCCACAGCCAGGCGGTGCCGTTAGCTGCACTACCCTCTCGAGATCGATCAACTCTCCTTTTTACAGTTCGCTTAGGGCAGCTGGAGGGAAGATGGCCCCTTTCCCCACAGCCATAGCACCTAGGGCTGTATCCTTTGTTGCAGTCGCGAACTGTAAGCTGCTGCAACCTCTCTGACGCGATGGGAACGATGGTCCTGCCGCACGGCTTCCAACTCCAGTGCATGGGCCAAGGCGTCCTTAAGCGTCTCGTGGTGCCCCAGCCTCACAGCAGCTCTGACTTCTAGGTCGCGGATGCCGTCGATGAATGTCTGCACCAGGTTCCCTTCAATGAGCGCAGGTACAGACTGGTATGCTTTTCGAACCATCTTCTCCACCTCAAGGGCCCACTGCTGCAGGTTTTCGTTGCTGCGTTGCACGCGATCTTTAAGCTGCGCGCGAAAGACGTGTTCCAGGTGAGCGTCACCATATCTCGCCTCCAATGCCTCAAGGAGCTGCTCGTAGGTCACTTTCTTACCGAGAGCTTCCAACACGGTTAAGGCTTGGTCGCGCAGGCCTAAGGTGAGTGCAGTCATGGCCTGGCTTTTATTCCAGCCGTTTGCCTCCATGACGGCCTCGAACTGGATTTTGTAGGCCGCCCAGGAAGAGTTCCCGTCGAACGGCGGCACTTTGAATCCACGTAGCGAAGGTGCTGTAGCTACTACGGGAGCTGTAGCTCCATCCCCAAGTTTGAGTTTGTCTAGTGATTTCTTCATGTCAGCCATTACGTTGTCAACCCGATTGTTTACTTGGTCGATTCGGGTTTCAGCTTTCTCGATTCGGTTTTCAGCTTTCGCGATTTGGGTTTCAGCTTCCGACAGGCGGTTGTCATGCTGAGCAACCCTATCCTTCACCTCCTTTATCTCCTTCCCGAAGGTAGCGTGAAGGTCCTTCATGAGGAGCATCTGCTCTTCCAACCGACGGGCCTGTTCCTCTTGTCCGCCCCGCAGCTGCTCTTCCAATCGGCGTGCCTGTTCCGCCTGCTGGCGAGCCTGTTCCTCCTGTCGGCGAGCCTGTACCTCCTGCTGCTCTTTTAACCAACGGGCCTGTTCCTCCAGCATCACCATCAGAGCACCTAAGTCAGGTGCTGCAGATGTAGGAGCTACCGACGGGCCTGCAGCTGGTGGCTGGCCCTCCGACGTCTGCGGCGTTGCACCACCAAATCTTCGTTGGTCCGTCTCCTGCTGGCGTTGACTTCGGGTACGGACACCCTACGTTTCCTCCTTAGGTAAAATCGGCATGATTTTATCCCACTTCTGACACCAATTGTTACGAGCTTGAGGTTCGTGACAATAAAAATTGCCGATAAAATTACCTAAATTAACACTTTAATTTACTTTACACAAATTAAAACTTAAAACACTAATAATTAAACACACTAATTCACTTTATTCCGCTCCGAAGCTTCGCTTGTCTCGCCAAATCAACACTGCCCCGATCGCATCTTGCAGCGCCTATTTATATAATTAGCAAAGAAATATCCAGAATGTTCAAGTAAACACGCGCAAGGTACCGAGCGTTCGAGTTTCGACTAGGCGCTGTCGGTTGCAAGGTTTGTGATGTCATTTTCTGCAAAGCTCCCCTCGCTCTCGTTCCTGACACTAGATGGCGCTAGTGTGTCGTCGACTTGAGCGCGTAACAATATCTTGAGGACTTGAATTTTGAAAAAGAGACTTGGAACTTTTCAGAGTCTTATCATGGGAAAAGTGCTGCTGATGGTATAGGAGGAGTCATCAAGCGACTTTTGGATGCTAAAGTATCCCATGGAATGGACGTTTCAGACACCTCAACAGCATACTCTCTACTGAAAGAAAATACTACTGTCAATCTTTTTTGTGTTGATGAGTCGGATATTATCGAGATAAAAAGTAAAAATCAAACAGCTTTCGAAAGCTTAGTGCCTGTTCCTAAAACAATGAAGATTCACCAAATACAAGTCGAAACAGAAAACCACTCTAATGAAATAAATTACCGAGTTTTAAGTTGTTTTTGTAACGGCTCAATCATGAGAGGTTTTTGCGACTGTTTCAACATTAAAAGACATTGTCTGCTAAAATCTTGCCCCAGAAAGCGAACTCGGCTAAAATCCGAGTCAGATGACTGTCTGTCTTTACTGTTTAAAAGAACAGCACATACTACCAACATGTTTGCTGCTATCTCCAAGTCCGAGAATAAAACACCACCGGTTTCTTCAAAAAATATACCAACTATACCAATAGATATTTTTGGTGCTGTTGACTGTGATTCAGACTCCTCAGATATTTTCGATTTGCCATGTACTATTGGTACTACTAAAACTTCTAAGCGTAAAGTGCGGAGCAATCCAACGCAAATTATGACGCCTGTGGTTGCAGACCATACCTATGCCGCCGTGACAAATAAAGAAAATGTCGATCATCAGCATAAAAATAACTGGAAAAATATAAAAAAATGCGGGAGCTGTGACTATATTATCCGATGTTAAAGTAAACTATGCAATTAGTGATTTAAGGAAAATAATCAGCAATACAAAGTGGCAAAATGTGTCTTCTTGTGACCTCAAAGTAGATTTTCCTGAAATTCTTGAAAGTTCAACAACTAATTCTGTATCATTAAAGCAAAAAAAATTTTTTCTAGTTCAAGTGAAAGTGAATAGTGTTTCATATTGTTATTTTGTTAAATAGTTTTTGATACCTCTATAGTTCCTTAAACTGTTATTATTTCAATAAAAATTGTTTTCGTTATGTTCATGACGACAGTAAATAGATATAATGTCTGGATATTTTTAGTTCCTATTGCAATTATTTTGATATCCTTAATAATATTTTTTTAAATGAGGTTATTATTAAAAAGTCATCATAGCTTTGATGTATGTAGCTTCAATACTGCGCATATAAAACTTAATAATGTCTGCATACGACTGTGTTAGCAAAGAGTTAATATAGAAATAGATTGTAAATTTTTTACCCTTTTTCCCAAGTCTGTAACGAAATGAATGCTGTTGACAAATGTCTAATTTTTGTATCATTAATTTGTTTATGATAATTTTATCTAAGAATAATATTCTCAAAATGTAACTGATTATGTTGAAGTATTTGATCTCTTTTTTACTGTCCCGAAAGAAAAAATAGGTTTATAAGAGATACAATGTTTCTTATGATCTCCTTTAGTTAATAAAAGAAAATAATAAAAGCATTATAAAGTGGTTTATTTCATAAATCTTGTACGTGATTAAAAAATTAATAGTAATCCTTAGAGGAACTCGGAATTACGCCAGCTGCCAATGGGCGCATATGTTCGTGTTGCTAAGTGATAACCAGTGTATATTGTGAAAACACCCTAATATTTAATTTTTGTTGTTTTTTGTAACGTGTTTCATTTTTGTTACATTTTCATTTTTGTTTCATTTTTGTCACAATGGTCAATTTTAAATGAATTTCACCCTTTAGTAAATATGAATTATTTAAAATTTAATAGGAGATGCAAGATTTAGTTGATATAGATTTCTCGGGTTCGCGTTCTTCAAATTTCAAAAATTAAGATATCGATGTTTTAATTTTTAACATCGATGACCATCGAACATCGATGATCGTCGAACATCCCTATATGGCACACCACATTGGTTGGCAGACCTTTCAAGTCTCAAGATCACACAAGATTTTAAAAATTTGTGAACTTAGTTGTGAATTGTGATTTGTGATACTTGAGTAATGATATAAAAATGAATGAAGTATCAATTAAAAAATCTCTAGAAGTGACCTCATCATTATTAGATGCATTTGAGTTACTAAAGTCACCTAAAGATGATGTGAAATTAAACGGTGGTGTTAAAATCATATCACGCCTTCTGAACAACGAGGTTAGTTTTTTATTTATATGTTAATAAAATACTTTTTTCTTTATATGAGGTAAACTGTTTTTAAAAAATTTATGTGGACTGTTATAAAAGAAATCCATAAAAGTGAAATCTTAAATTGCTTCCTTTAAGTTTTATGCACAAAATAAAGATATTTGTATAAACTTAATATTGTTTAGTTTGTATTTTTTTTATAGGATATGGTGTCAATCGAGCACATTGTCCACCTGATGATAAGTAGTTGCTGTGCCCATAGATATCACATCTATCCTCGATTACGAATCAAAATGCAGATGCGTTGTCACCCATGACGACTAAGATGGAATGTCTCGTTTCCATCCGGATTTTCTCTCCGTGATAAACTTAATGATTAAGGATATCCGCAGTAGAACCCAAGTGACATGGTGTGGCCAAGGTTGGCTAGTGTCCAGAGGCTGCTGTCATCAGATAGATCTCATTTTTACCTTTTTGTAAAATAAAAAATGTGTTCAGTCTAAATAGGGATTAAATGGCATCATATCTTCTGTATAATTATCATGGATTGTAATATGGTATATAAAGTGTTTTGCAAATTTCCTTATATTATCATTATGTTTTAGGGTGAAAAAGATATCCAGTATGCCCTGAAACGATTAATACGAAGTCTGGGAGCAAATATTCCGGATATGAGGACAGGATATTTTGCCACTCTTGTGGAATTATTAATCAAATTTGAACAGATACCCATATCACAGATATTTGAATTAGTTAAAAAAGAATTGCATGCCAATGGTTCTTCTAAAAGTGTAAGTTTTCCTTTTTATTCATATGTTATGTTGTGTTTATTAAAAATATGTTTTATGTACTTGTAGGAAAGTAGTTAAATAGAATTAATTTACAATTACAAAATACACGGATCACAGGTAATCAACTATAAATTGTACTGAGACTAATTTAATAGCTGATAATTATAATTAATTCGTTTCCATGAATTAATTATTCCAATAGTCTAGGATGAGATAGTAGCGAGATACAACAAGTGCACAGTGCCACGCCAGAGCTGTGACTCCCTGCTCCACCGCTGTGCGGTCGTTTTATAGCCGTTGTTGCAAAACAAGCCGAGTAGTGGGGCGGTGGGGGAAACTAAGCGATACGCCGAGCGGCGCAATCGGTGCAAGTGTTCTTTACAATTTTGCTGTATATAAAATAACTGAACAAAATAAAATTCAAGTATCAAGTTTTAAAAAACAAAGTTAAATTAAACACAAAGACAAAATCACACACACAGACAGTGGTGTATACATAATTAGGTGTATTTGTTGGTCACAAATAAATAACCATAAATACTCACCCCTGTCACCCAGAGGGGTAGGCAGAGACTATGTATGGACTTCCATTTGGAACAATACTCACATACCTCTCTCGCATACATGCTCTTCAGTTAAAGTTATTCCTAATCTGGCCCATTTTCAATTTATTGCCAATTTGGTTGGTATACCTTTGACTAGGGCATCCCATCCCAACTCTACTGTTCACATATGCAATATAAATTTGCTTTGTCACTCTATCACAAATACATTTTTTATTTTTGTAACTAGGTATTCATAAATTTCTAAAATCTAAATTATTTTGTTTACTTTGTACAATATTTCGGCCTGATGTTATTCGGACCTTAATACCTTCACATTATTATATTATGAAATGAAATTTGGGGAATTCTCGACATCTCGGCATTGTAAATTGCGAGGCGACACGAGTCGGCTGGGCGGCGGCAGCATGTGTGTGAAAGGGAAGGGTGAAGTTGTTGTTTTTTGTTGGTGGGTGAAGATTTTCGTACTGAGCTAGATAAAAAGAGTTCGCGCGTTTATTGACCCTTTATCTGCTGATTTCAGGTATTTTAGGTATTTAAGTTTCACTGCTGATTTTATGTTTAGGTATTTTTATGTTTGTTTTAATGAAATTATCCTTTCATTTAGGTATACTACTATGATGGAGCATGAATAAAGCTAATAAAACGTGAAAGAGCTTCTCACTTACAGACACTCCACGAGTGTCCCTCAGCCTACCCTGAGCATCAACAGCAGAAAGATGCCGATTTCGCAAAGAAGTCAAGGCAATAAAACAGTCATCCGTCGGGTTTATGAGACATCCTCTTCCAGAATCTGGTCTCCGGCGGTACTCCCCCATCTCTAAGTATCGTTTATGAACTACATACCGCTGATCGATGCAAATTTAATCTGCTTGCCACTTTTCGGTGACTTAGCCCTTCAAAAACGAGAGCTACCACTTGAGTGGCATCTGCTTCAGTGGTATCCATATTTTATGGTTAAAAGTAATAATATGTCTCCTCCAACAAATAATTAAAATATAGAATAGAAGATATGTGTCAAAAGTCCTAAATAAACTAACCTTGCACTCTATGCACAAGTCGATAATTTTTATCAGTGTGTTTAAAATGTTACAAATAGACACAACAGCACTTGTGTTCCTCTAAAACAAAGTCAAGTGGGTACTCAAATGGTAATCATCATAAATCATCCAAATACAGCACAATATACAATGAAAGTCAAAATGAAAACACATTTATTGGCACCTATCTTTTAACTTGTAAAGTATTGCAGGGAGGCGAGTGGTCGTTCTGTAGGTAGTACTATTTTGTATTCTGTGCTGGTACAAGGCTGCCACTAAAGAAGCTTCTTTCTTCATCATTTGTCAGTTCTTCAACCTATATGGCCGATCCATTGCCAAGGTTGGATTTACAATTGTTTGGCAGGAATTTGGGGGAGTAAGGTGTTGTGTTTGGTAGAGGTTTGCTCCCTGATTATAACAATACCACTTGCATTAATGTAATGCACTGTTTTTGTGAAAATAATAAATAGCTTATTATAAGCTATGAATGGGTAAAACATGAAAAAACAAATGCAATATTACTGTGAAAGCTAGATGGCATATATAACTTTGTGTAAGTGTGACAAAGATGTATGAAAATTTCAAAGACTAGTGTCACATTATTTTACTTCTATGGTATGTTTATTCTTCTGTTTTTTTTAAAAATTATGTTTACAAACAATAAAGAAATGATTATTATATACTTAACACCCAGAAATACTTTCAGTTGAGTTAGATTAGAAGGCTGTGGCGGGAGATACGCTGCACTTCGCTCTTGCCACATCCTTCTAACCTAACCCAACTACGTAACCCACAGGTTCGTGGTTATATATTTTTACCGCCCAGAAATACTAGAGCATCCAGAAATCCTTAAATTTTTCGTAGGGGATACCCCTTCCCCTCATACTCCTCATACCCCAAAAGAAAATCCTATAAACCTAATCTTGAAATGTTATCATTTCAAGGTTAGGTTTGTAGGATTTTCTTTTTTTCTCAAGAATGGTGTATTACCTCTTCATGTGAGTGGTGTAAGTGTGTAGGGGACGCTCTCCTCCCCCCACTCTCCCTTCCAAACAATTCTAAATTATTAGCTATTTCCACTTCAACGTCTGATCCGTATCAAACTCCTCTCCCCTCCTCAGTAGTACCCCTCAGGCCCTGATGTTGTTTTAATTTTGTGCTCAATCTAAAACAATACTTAATATTATATTATGAAATGAACAGAAATGATAATTAAGTCATAGTTTACATACATTATGGTTTAGAATTATTTATTTGATTACTTGGACATTAATTACACAATGAAGTAATGGTTCATAGCACCTCTGCAGGAATTATTCAGTATTCTGATTATATTCTTTTTTTCTTTTCACATTATCATCAATTTATTACTTGTAATTTTATGTATACTTGAGCAAGTACTATATATATAATATAATATATTTATTTTTTATATTTCCAGGAAGTTGGTGATGTTGCTTTAGGACAGATTCTTGTATGCAGTGCTATATTCCGTTCCGGTCGCATGCTGAAATGCACAGAAGATGAGCAAAAACAAGTTTTACAGCTTTTAATGACAGCTAGTACCAAGAAATCTTATCTTAGTACAGTAGCTTTTCTCTTGCTGATTGATTTTATAAATGAGGTGAGTAAATGAACATTTAATTCGTTGAAATTTTGCAAATTTGTTACATTGCTTGGGGTAAAGTGGGGGAAGGGGGCGACAACATTGATCTTGCTTTTTGAATTGAAATTGGCTTGTTGTTTGTTGAGTAGTCTGTGATTGGTGCGAGGCGAATGAATTTGAAGTACACAAACATGTAATTGGTTAAAAAAATTATCTGCACAATCTTAGCCATAAGTGATTCTGAAGTACTTATCTATGAAATTGCTGTTTTACATGGAAATAGTGCACTACTGCAATTTTATTGCATATGGAAATTCCTCACCCGAGTCTAAATTTATCTTCTGCAAAAAGTTATCTAAATTCGGAAAAGAATGGAAATCGGTAGAAATAAGGTCTGGTAATAATGGCACATAATGGAGGAATTTCGGTCACAACTACTGTCAACTTCCTTGTACAGTGCAGTATATTAACAGTTTTTCTATATATATCAGTTTCTAATTCAAAATGAAGGGCTACCGTTCCTGGGTTAAACTACTGGGACATGCAAATTAATTTATCACCATTCATCATTACAGCCCTTCACAAGTTTCCTATGTTATTCTATCCCCACGTCAATTAAACAAATGTAGTTAGTTTTACTTACGGCTAAGTTATACTTATAGGATTTATTAGGTAATGAAGTGATTAGGACAAGTCAAGCCTGACAAAACCTGTATCCGATTCAAAATGTCGAAAAAAGACCACTTCCAGTTTGGTTTTTGAAATAGATTTCCCTCATACAATTAACTTAAAACATCATTTGATGCAGGAGATTGACTTTTAGTTTTAAGAACACACATTACATACATTACATTTATCCGTTATGTGAAAAAGTTGACTTTAACTTGGATGCAATGAAAGATGCTGGGATAATCATAATGAATCTATCCAGCCCAGAAAACTAATAACTTTCATAATATAACCTGCCATGTACCAACAACTGAATACTATGTGACAATTAAAAATGTGTTAGTTCATTTCGAGTTATATTAAAACAAGTTACAACTAATGACGTAATTCCATCCAATAAAGAGTATTAAAGTCTGCTGCTGAACATGGAACTCTTTCATACATTGTCTCATAGGGAGGATTTTGGCATTTTTGCTACGTTTGGCAGGCTGGTTGGCAACCGCAGTTGTTTAATTATTTTGTTATAAGGAAAATGCTGCTGCCCATCTTCTGTTTTAGTTTCCCTCTGACGTCTCTTACGATATCCACGGGACAATATGGGGTAGTGAGTTCTTATACCACCACTAAATGGATGTACATCCAGTAGCTTAGTTATTTAAAGTCAACTATCAGTAATACTATACAGTAGGTAGTGGCAGTGGTAGGTAATAGGTAAGTTGAGTGAGGCGAAGTTTCAGACAAAGTGAAGAATATTAAGATTGGGATGAACAGACACATTATGTGGAGGACATGGGCGGGGTGCACATCAACGACGTCGAGCCTCATACGTTGCCCGCACTGCCGTGTCGCGTACTATAATTATTTAGGTTATTATATACTTTATATATTTATAATTTAACACTCGGAATCAAAATTTAATTGTTCAGATGACAGACTATTTTGGGGTTAGCTCCCTGAACTGCCATTGCTATTTAATTACAAATTAAGATAGTGTTCATTTTTTGTTATTAGCTTGAAGAGGAACAATTTTCATCGGTTGTATGGTCTAATATAAAACATGACTTTAAGAAAGACATTAAAGAATATAACTTGGATTCTCTTTACTGTCTTCTTATAATGAGCACAAAGTTTCCCAAGAAGGTCAAAGTGAAAAAATTACTGGCAGTGCCCGAGATATTATGTGAAGAAAATTTGCAAATTATTTGTGAAAAACTACTGGTAAGTTAGTTTTCTTCCTCTTTATTTTAGACCAAAAAATTTTTATATTGGATCTATTTATGTAAAACTTTGACAAGAGGTAGCGACTACGATATAAAGTATAAAAGCAAGACCACACGGTGCCTTGCTACGGCGCGGTAGTGCGATACCTACGCGGTGATCGAAGTGAGTGTGTGCAACGCTGCATCAATCGTTTGGCACTACGTCACTTCCCGTGTTGATTTGGTCTTTGGAATAAGTGCTAACTCCATCTTCATATGGTGGACCCTAGTAACTAACATCGAGCATGAGCACGAAAATCCATCCAAATAAGTCAAACGCAAATCCTACATACTGTTAATGGGAAACCCTGTCTACTATTAATATATAGAAGTATGGGTAACAAAGAGCACACAGTCTACAGCATTCACTTACTGTTTGTAAGCGAATGCTGCAAGCCATACACACCTACATGTGCTGTCACCGCTGAGCACTAAGATGGAATGCGTGGAAACTGACACCCTTTTTAATGGTAACAAGTACCATTAAAAAGGGTGTCAGTTTCTCATCAATCACTATCCGAAACACAACAGTTAGCTGTTATTTTACACTAGTATTTAATGCGCTGCTCACATGTATAGCCATGGTAAGCACAGGCACATCTTAGGAAAGGTCTTCGTACAACACTAGATAATGGGTCATTAATGAGATTGTTAATTCACAAAAATTATCACACAAAATTCCATATGTAGGTAAAGTTTATATAATGCTAGAATCTGACTCAATTTTTAGAGCTTTCCAATTGGTAGAGGCTTTAAAAACGTTGATTGTCAATTATCAATTAGATGATTTTAAATTTTAATAGCTTGCTTTAGGCAGATATTATAGTCCCACAAGTTTTAAATTTTGAGGCAGATGTGATTCTACTACTAAACTAAAGTTTCACGATGACATTGTAGATACTCAAATGTTACTCATGGAGGAAAGTATGTTCAATGTCGTTCTGTTTAAATTCCTTAATATAATGATATTAAGCCGTGTAGTGGCGGTTAAGAATATCCACTACCCCATATCTTCCCGTGGGTGTCGTAAAAGGCGACAGAGGGAAACAGGCAGGAGATGGGCAGCAGCATATTCCTGATAACAGCAACTGTACGACAAAAAAAAAACTGCGGTTGCCAACCCGCTCGCCAAGCGTGGCAACTATGGCAATATACCCCCATGAACAATTACACAAATAGACGGCCCCCAGTCTCCGGCGGCCCCGCTATTCCTGGCTACGGTGGCGACCATGGTAACGGCGGGGCAGGGGGTGCTAAGAATCTCCGGTGGAGGTTCGGTTGCCACCTACGACGACTCGACCTGGCAACATTTAACGCACGCACCCTGAGGACTGACGAGAAGATCCTGGAGCAGGAAGAAGAGATAGACAAGTTGCGTTGGAATATTATAGGATTATCTGAGTTCCGAAGAGAGGGGGAGGACATGGTGATTCTCGAATCCGGCAACTTGTTCTATCACCGGGAGACCGACCATCTGTCCCAAGGAGGTGTCGGATTTATCGTCCACAAGTCTCTCGTCAACAACGTTGTAAAGATTGGGAGTGTGTCGACGAGGGTCGCGTACCTGATACTCAGAATCACCAAACGGTATTCGCTGAAGGTCATACAGGTTTACGCACCAACCTCAGCAGCTGGCCGACTTTATGGAGAAAGAGGGACTCTTTATGATGAACTCTTTCTTCCAGAAGCGGCCCCACAGGAAGTGGACCTGGTCGAGCCCCGACGGTTCGACAAAAAATGAGATTGACTTCATTATGACGACCAGACTCCAACTGTCCAGTGATGTCTCAGTGATCGCAAGGGTGAAAACTGGCAGCGATCACCGATTGGTTATAGGCACACTGAACCTAAACGTTAAGTTGGAGAGGTCTTGTCTAATGAAGTCAATGCTCCGTCCCCCTCGTGCTCTAATCCAGAATACCGAAAACTTTCAGCTCGAGTTACGTAACCGCTTTCAGTGCCTACAAGATTGCAATGCAGTGGACGATATGAATGACAAGCTCGTGGAAACTGTCCATGCGGTCGGAGCTAAGTTCTGCAAGACCCGCCGCAGAAGAACACAAAAACTCTCCGATCACACAAATGCATGCGGCGAGACTTACGCAACTTTAATACTGCTCGTATTAAAGAAACGATCGAGCGGAACCAGGGCTCCAAAGTCTTTGCCAGAGATCTGTCTGCCAGTAAGAGCCAACTGTCAAAGCTGAAGACTGAGTGTGGCAGCATCGTTTCCGGGACACCTGAGATTTTGAGTGAGATTGAGAGGTTCTATGGGCAGCTGTATACATCATCGTTGGAGTCACATGCAAGTGTGAGTAACAATCCAAGAGCAAGTCTTATCCGACACTATTCCGATGATATCCCGGACGTCAGTCTAAGCGAGATTATAATGGCTCTCCAGCACCTTAAAAACGACAGGGCCCCAGGCGAGGATGGAATTACAGCGGAGCTTCTGAAAGCGGGTGGAACACCGGTACTTGAAGTCCTTCAGAAGCTCTTCAATTCCGTCCTCCATGGTGGCACTACTCCAGAGGCGTGGAGCAGAAGTGCGGTGGTCTTGTTCTTTAAGAAAGGCGACAACGCTCTCTTGAAGAATTACAGACCGATTTCCCTTCTGAGCCGCGTCTACGTGCTGTTTTAGAGTCATTACGAATCGTCTCGCAGACTCGACGACTTCCAGCCTCCCGAACAAGCCGGTTTCCGAAAAGGCTTCAGTACCATAGACCACATATATACCCTGCGGCAGATTGTACAGAAGACTGAAGAGTACAATCTGCCAATTTGCCTGGCGTATGTGGACTATGAGAAAGCCTTTGATTCCGTCGAAATTTGGGCGGTGCTACAGTCTCTTCAGCGGTGCCAAGTTGACTGTCGGTATATCGAAGTGCTGAAGTGTTTGTACAGTAGGGCTACGATCGCTATCCGAGTACAGAACCAGAGCTCGAAACCTATCCAACTGCAGAGACTTGTAAGACAGGGTGACGTAATATCCCCGAAACTCTTCACCGCTGCATTGGAAGAAGGGTTCAAGCTACTGGCCTGGAAAGGATACAGTGTTAATATCAATGGCGAATACATCATTCACCTTCGATTTGCCGATTATATATCCTTATGGCAGAATCGCTGAAGGACTTAAGCACTATGCTCAATGACCTCAATAGTGCCTCCCAACGGATAGGTCTTAAGATGAACATGGACAAAACAAAGATTATGTTTAATGTCCATATCACACCTATGCCGGTAGTTGTTGGGAGCACTATGCTCGAAGTTGTTGACGAGTACGTTTACCTGGGACAAATAGTCCGACTATGTAAGTCCAACTTCAACCGACAGGTCAATCGACGGATTCAACTCGGCTGGGCAGCGTTTGGGAAATTACGACATATCTTCTCGTCAGGTATACCTCAATCTCTAAAAACTGGATTGTACAACCAGTGCGTGTTGCCAGTGATGACTTACGGATCTGAGACGTGGTCCTTCACCGCTGGCCGTATGAGGACGCTCAAGGTCGCTCAGCGAGCTATGGAGAGGGCTATGCTCGGAGTTTCTCTGCGTGATAGACTCAGAAATGAGGATATCCGCATTAAAACCAGAGTGACCGACATAGCCCAATGGATTAGTAAGCTGAAGTGGCAATGGGCCGGCCATATAGCTCGAAGAACCAATAACCGATGGGGAAGAAAGGTTCTCGAGTGGCAGTCTCGTACCGGTAGGTGTAGTGTAGGGCGACCCCCCACTAGATGGAGTGACGACCTGGTAAGATATGCAGGAAGTCGATGGATGCTGGTGGCTCAGGACCGTGCTTTGTGGCATTACTTGGGGGAGGCCTATGTTCAGCAGTGGACTTGTGAAGGGCTGTAATGATGATGATGATGATGATGAATGATATTAAGGAATTGAGATCTGTTAGCCTATGGCAGTAAGTTAGTTGCTTGACTGTATATATATATATATATATTAGTGATTATATAATGAATTGCACGTTTTTTTTTACAGACAGGCATTGATTTTAACACAGTCAACCATCCTGTATACAAAGAAATTGGTATACATATTGCTAAATCACCCTATTTAATACAATTTTGGACAAACATAGACAGCCAGCTTACCAAACATAACAGAAACAGAGAACTTGTGTGTATTAATTTACTTACTACCATACTTCTTAACTTGGACGACAATATTCAAGTGATACCTGAACTCTTAAGTACAAATTTTTTTAAACTTTTTATGGATTGGTTTAAAGGTCTTCAAACAGCTAGTAAAATCAGAAATAAGAAAGATAATGAAGATGACAATAAAATAATAATTAAGAAACAAAAAGAGCTACTTAATGCCTTAGCAAAAGCATTAAAATTAGATAAAGTTACTGGAAAAATAAGAGTAGAAACATTAAAAAAGCTTTTATTTAACCCAGGTGAAATTAATTTTACCGAAATCACTGGCACTAATATTATCAAGTCTATTATAATAGATTTAGATGAAGATGGTGTCAAAAAAATCGCCAAACTGTTAAAAAATGTTCTCAAAAATAGTTCCAAGAAAATCAAAGAAAATGTTGAACGTAATTGGTACAACAATGAAAGAGTGAAGGCTGCTGAACTCCTTTCCTTTTTGGTGAGCCATGATGTTATAAAAGATGACACTGATTTTAAAATCACTATTATGAAATTATTAATGTGCTTTGGGTTCTTTAAAATTGGAGGAGATGAGAATGTTGTTGTGAGCAGTGAGTTAGCAGGTAATTTAAGATTAAATTTTTCATGCAATTAAGATGACAGAAAATGTTTAACTACACTTTACTTTTAAATTTTTCAGGTGCTATCAAGACTTGTTTTTATCGTTGCTTTTCATCTCGATTTTCGAACGTAGACAACTTAGTGGATGTATTATCGTCATTAAGTAACTTTATATGCTCAATAATGGAAAAGGAACAAGTAAGAACTAAAATGGAAAAACAGTTCACAAATGAAAACATGGAATGCTGGGAGATGATCACGGAGATATGTCAGAAAATAAATGACGTTAATGCGAAATCTAAAGTTGATAAAGTTTTTCTTATTTTGCTTTACCAAATGGGCTTGTTTTTATTCTCAGAGCCTGCACATGTAAAAATCGCTAGAAGCTCTATTAAGGAATTAAAAAGTTGCTACGAACATTACAGGAACGAGAATGAAATTTTTAGAAATAATAAGCAAAACATTTTGAATGAAGAACTTGAATGGATAGAAGTATTGGTGGAAGTTTTATTATCTATTTTATCAGTTGAATCCAGTGTTCTTCGATCTGTTGTTCAATGTGTGTTCAGGCTACTCTGGGAATATCTGACACCATCATCAATTGGGCAAATAGTATCAGTAATAGATCCAGAAAGCGAATCTAACCCACTCACGCAAGATAGTGAATCAGAAGAAGATAAGGATGGCAATTCTGATAGTGACGATAACAATTTAGATAGTGATGATCATGACGCAGAAAAACCGAATGATGATATAAATAGTGATGATGATAGTAATAACAGTGACATTAATATAGATGATGAAAATGAAGATATAAAAATACCAGATCAATTAAGAATGGCTGTTCAGAAAGCATTAGGTGCAGCAGCACCAGATACTGATACTGAGAGCATAGATGCTGATACAATTAATGAAGAAGACGGAAAGAAGATAGACGAAGCTCTTGCAGAAGCCTTTAAACAATTTTACCAGGGAAAAGGCAAGAAATCTAAAAAGGATCGTAAAGATAAAAAGGCATTGTCGGACTTCAGAGTTCGAGTTTTAGACTTAATAGACATATATTTAGAGAAGGATCCAGCAATGGATGTTTGCCTAGCAATGATAACTCCTTTAACGAGAAGTCTAGAGTTTTGTATTCAGGATAATCAATGTATTGAATTGGAAAATCGTATCAGAAAAACTATAAAGAACTTATGTAAAATTAGAAAATTTTCGTCTACACAAGATGTTACGATAGGTACATTATGTGATCATTTAAAATCAGTTGTTGACAAAGGCACTCGATCACATTTTATGTTTCAAGCTTTAGGGGATGTGATAACGTATTTTGCAACATTTATAATTCATTGTTCTATTAAAATAACTTCTAATATGCCTAAAAAGAAAAAACATGTATCTCCACTAATTGATATTTTAAAAGATGCCTTGCGTAACTATTTTAGGAATAGAAACTGTTTGCTGCCTATAATTTTCTTTCATAATGTTTTACAATTAGAATGGGATGGAAATTATGATCTTGTACCCATAATAGTAGACAATATTTTCGACAAAGATGTCAGACATTTTCGTCGCAATGAAGGAATTGAATTGCTAGCTGGGTTTTATCGGAGCCTTAAAAGATACAAACCATCTTCAGAAAAGATTTTAAATAAATTATCAACTTTAGAAACGGATTTTGAGGAGAGACTCAAAAGTGTTGTCAAGCTTGGTGAAGATTTCAAAGTTAAAAGCAATTTTGTTGTATCCTTAAAAAAATTACTAAACACTATGAGAACATTTCATGAAAGTTGCAAAATTGACACAAATTTGAATTTTCAAACTTTATTTAACATATCAGGACAAATAAAGAGTACAGGCAAAGGTGAAACATCTAATAACCAAGGTGGACAAAATCAGCAAAATTCTCAGAAATCATCAAAAAAAAGGAAAAATAAAAGAAAACAATCTCAAAATAATGGCAGTACTGAACCACTATTGAAGAAGTCTAAAAATATGTAAATAATACAAGAAGTAAAATTATGTGTGTACTTTTACAAATTATTACAAATTATTAATTATTAAAGGACAATTTGTTGCCTTTTTATTTCCTTATTCAAAATTATTAACAAAAAAATTATTATGAAATTTATCTAAGAATGTAATATCATACTAACTACCTTATTTAAATATACAACGACAAACTCATACTAAATTTATATATGCAATACATTACCAAAATAAACGAAGCAAAACAACAGCAATACTGTCCGTGCCAATACTGCCCGTTGTCGCATCGTGCCCAACACAATGCGACAACGGGCAGTTTCTGCATTACTTTTGCTTCATTATTTTAAGTGTAGGGCTAAGCAGTGAACTATAACCATAGCAGCAATTATACTAGTCACAGTGATACTGGTCTTGCACAACTTGAATATTTGTTTGCATATAATAAATAATTAAGCTTTTAATGAAAGTAAAACAGACTTTAAATTTTTTTTATATATAATAGCTTCGAAAGTTGGTTTTAAAACATAGTGTATCCAAGAATTTAGAGTAAAGCTTGATACTTCGGAAGCTTTCTAGCCTTCCGAACATACATACTCTTCGGCAAATTATACAGAAAACCGGGGACTCAATCTGCCACTATGTCTTGCGTTTTGCTATAAGAAAGCCTTTGATTCCGTCGAAATTTGGGCGATGCTGCTGTCTCTTCAGCGGTGCCAAGTTGACTGTCGGTATATCGAAGTGCTGAAGTGTTTGTGCAGTAGGGCTACGATGGCTATCCGAGTAAAGAACCAGAGTACGAAACATATCCAACTGCAAGACAGAAACACAACACGAAACTTCACCGCTGCATTGGAAAACCCTTTCAAACTACTGGACTGGAAAGGAGACGGTATTAACATCAATGGCGAGTTCTCAATATTGCCTCTGAACGGATAGGTCTTAAGATGAACATGGACGAAACGGAGATCATGTGTCACGTCCATGTCACACCTATGCCCGTAGTTGTTGGGAGCACTAAGCTCTGAAATTGTTGACGAATATGTTTACCTGGGACAAATAGTCCGACTAAGTAAGTCTAACAACGGATTAGTAAGCCGAAGTGGCAATGGCCCGGCCATATAGCTCGAAGAACCGACAACCCATGGGGATAAAATGTTCTCGGGTGGCAGTTTTGTTGCAGAACAAAGACTTTCAGGAAGGAGCACAACTTATACAACTTGGATGGGCTCAAGTTCCTCAAAAGTGTTATATCTGGTCGTAAACACTTCCGTAATCATTTTCTGAGATAAATGCCGAAGTGCAGCTAAAGAATTCAAAAATTCGTCTGGTAGCCTGATCTTGATCTATAAATCGGTCTCCGTTGATCGAAGTTGGGGTGCAACACCGTCAACTTCCTGACTTCGGGCTATTACCGAGAATTTTTGGACATAAAAAAAACAACTTTTTTGGTTTAGCCCGACGGAACGGAACCATCGTCTTCCTCTGGGGGTACATTACTCGAAGGCTTCCGCCTCAAACACCTGCAACCCCAGAGACCCTGTTTCAGGTAGGGGAACACCATCTTCAAGGGGAGGGCTGTGAAGAACGCCTTGTTGGCGTCGTCTCCAAGCGGGATCTGTCCTCCTACGATCCCGCCCAGCAGCCTCCTTCTGGAGCATGACGGACTCAGAGGGTGGCTACGGCCCTTCACGCCGAGTCCTCGCTCAGCATTGCCGACACGGCTGCTGGCGGGAGAGGTTCTGACCGACCCAACTCGCCAGGATCGTTCCCGTTCCCATGCCAGGCAAACCGCAATCGTATGGTACGCGGAGTCCTGGTCCCACTCACCGTAGTGGAAGCAGTTTGCCGTCGTTTCGTGTCCGATCTTACACAGATAATCACCGAAGCACCCGTGCCCGGTAATTATCTGTGTAAGTCTGAAGGTGAGTCTTCCTGCTCGTCGTTGCATCCATGCTTCAAAGACCGGCAGGATTGCGCCAATAACGCCTTTGCGGGCACTCCTGCCGTTTTATAGACTCAAGCGTCTCATCTGGCTCACTTCAACCTCTCTGACGGAGGATGCGGATTCGGTTGTACACCTTTGCATCGATATACGCCAGTATATCTAGCGGTGGAAAGCGAGTCAGGATTGTTGCCACCTCAAAGGATATCGTGCGGTATCCTCGCACGATTTGTATAGCTACCCTCCGCTGGATACTGTAGATTTTAGATCTACAGCGTCGGATGGCTAGCCTTTTCGCCCATACAGGCGCCCCGTATAAGGTTACAGACCGCATTACCCCCGCATAGAGGCGACGTACTTCCTTCCTCGGTCCTCCCAGATTGGGCAGCAGTCTATGCATAGCACCCGCCACCCTCTCGATCCCCCCACCGGATTGAGAGGGTGGCGGGGCCAGGCGCTTAAAGTGCTCCTCGGAGCCCTAGCGATTGTTCAGGTGGAGCCCTAGGTACTTCATGTATCGACACACTCTGACAGACCCATCCACGCGTGAGTTGGGTGGTTCCCTGCTCCGAGGTAGTTTGTGAAACCATAAGGCCTTGGTCTTATGAGGCGCTATTTCTAGACCCAACTCGTGGATTTTGGCATGACAGGTCCCAAGCTCCCTGGTCCCCCAAGGTGTCCCCGCTGGCGACCACCAGTGTGTCGTCGGCATAACACACAATATTTACGCCAGCAGGAAGCTCGACACGCAGAACCGCATCGTACACGAGTTTCCACAATAAGGGACTCAGCACCGAGTCCTGCGGAATCATAAGTTTAATCTCCCTCTGGATCTTTCTACCATCTCGCCCAATGTACAGAATGTACCTGTCGCGCAAGTAGTCCTCGATTACGCCTTGCAGGTAGGCAGGTACCTGGTGACATTCTAATGCCCTCCTGATTGTATTCCAGGGTAGAGAGTTGAAGGCGTTGACAATATCAAGACTTATAACCAATGCCACACCACCTTGGGATACTGTTTGTTCCAACAGAGAGCGGACGCGCATAATGGCATCTACAGTGGAACGCTCCCGTCGGAATCCAAATTGACTATCAGCTAAATCGGGACCGACGCGCGACAAATAACCGAGTGGCAACTATCCTTTCGCACAATTTACCAATCTCGTCCAACAGCCATATGCTTCTTTCCATGCTGTGGGAAACTTGGCACTGCGCAGATAACCGGTAAACAGCTGTCTTAACCTGTCCTTTAAAACAGCCAGACTCAGCACTAAAGCCTGACCTGGAATTCTGTCAGGCCCAGGTGCAGTGTTCTGGGCTCTCAAGCAGCTAACGGCTCGGTCCGGCTCCTCCGTGGTCACCCCCATATCATCTTTTTCTCTAAGAAAAGCGTGCTGATAACTTCCCAGCAGGTCCGGGTCGAGAGTTTGCATCAAGGGAGGCTACAAGACACCATCCTGTACGGTCGCCCCCAGTGATCTTCGTTGAGTCCCTCTAAGAGCTCTTACCAGGACCGAGATCATACGTTAGATGTGGCAATTTGTAATGCGTTTATAGCCGCTCGGTATGCCCCGTAGAGTCTGACTATCTTCTCGAGTGGAGCTCGCCTTTTATTTCGGGCTCTAGTGTATTGGCGCCGACTGCGCAAGCAGATTGCACGAAGGTAAGCAATTTCTGCCGACCACCAGTACACCGCCCTGCGCTTGCGACAACTGGTTCTGGACATCAAGACGTCACATATTTGCACCATCGTAGCCCTCGTAGCCCATCGTAGAAATCAGTTCGCTTCCTCTTCCGGATCGAGTGGAACCTCTACGGCTTTTTCTGGTCTGGCCGCGAAGATGGCGGCCAGTTCAAGCTTGTCTTAGTCGAGCCGCTTGAGACACCAACGCCACGGTGAGCTGCGTTCTGGACGCACGACGACTTTCTGGTGCAGACGTATTTATGTCTTTAGTTATCGTATCGTCAGTCTCGCCTAACACTGTTACTGTACTCGTACTTGTAGGAGAGGACGTTCAATACGCATACGTACGTCCTCTCTCGACACACTTCCCTTTGCTACAAAAGTCGAGGCCGAGCGCGGATGCGATGCACTCTCATATAAGTATGCCTGTCCGTCATTATGAAGTCCATTTAATTTTTCGTCACGTTATCGGACTTTAATCAAATTTGCATACCATGTGCAGTTTGGTCCAACTTGAGAGATAGGGTAGTTTTTTTTGCCCATGAGTGACCCACAATTTTTTTTGCGAATTTGAGGATTTTTAATAGGACATTTCAGAGATTTGTCGAAAAGGGCAGAACAACATCTGCTTGGCAAGCTAGTTGTAATCTATATTGAGTAAAAATCATTCTATTCTACTCTTAAACCGGTCCCATAATCGATCGATCGATCGACTGTATACCTTCCCTTATGATGACATTAAAGTAGGCTTTAGTCGTGTTGTATAAATCAGAACAGAACAGAATCACGTTAAAACTATGCCAGAGGATTTAAACTTCAAAAAATATATTTTCCGGATTCTGATTGAAAACTGTTTTTATGATTTAGATGAATTTATCAAATTCTGCCGTGACGGTCACAGAGAGGTTGACTGGGATTAGCCCATTCGCAGAGACGACTACAGGAATAATTTCGCTCGGCTGACCCCATATGTCGGTCACCTCGTGAGCCAGGTCTAGATATTTTGTTTTCATATCTGATTCGGCTTTCACTAGGTTCTCGTCATATGGAATGGTAATGTCGACCTAAAATATCCTTGACTGCCCGGTCGTTCAGAACAATATCAGGCTTATTCGCAAGAATAGTCCTGTCTGTGATGATGTCCCGATCCCGGCTACCGGCACGAGCACGGCTACCGGCAAGTACTTATAATAAGGCAGTTTCCGATTCACGAGACCGTATTTCAGAGCAAGCTCCCGGTGTAGAATCCTGGCTACTAGGTTGTGCCTGTGCAAGTACTCAGAGATAGAAAACGCCGAACAACCGGAAATAACATGCCTAAGTGACTCACCGGGATAACGTTTGCGTTTACGCATGTGAACTAATGGAGAAAACGACGAAACGACG